AGACGACTACTACTACTACTACTACTACTACTACTCCTACTGCTACTACTACTGCTGCTGCTGCTGCTGCTGCTGCTACTGCTACTGCTCCTGCTCCTGCTCCTGCTCCTGCTCCTGCTCCTGCTCCAGCTCCTGCTCCGGCTCCCGCTCCCGCTCCTGCTCCCAGCAATGCATGCGTCAGATGGAAGAGATTTGCCTGTGTCGAGTGCATACGAATCGCTCAGAGTGGTAGTTGGCACCCTGACGCACACCTGGAGAGAACAACCAGGCAACCGCAAACACCAGCCTGGGTGACAATGCAATACTCAGCCCGAAAGGAGGTGCTAAAAGGTGGACAGGTTTTGCACAAAGAACCGGCCATGTCTTGATGATAACGTCAGTAGTTTGTTATAATGGCATGTTGCACGCGCTTGACTATTTCATCTTGGGTGCCAATCATGCGCAAGCAAAGAAACAAGCAGAAAGACAAAGAAAAAAAATCACAAACAAGCTGCTCATCGTCGTTGTGCTTGCTGACGACGCGAACCTTATCCGAAACAAGATAGGCACTGTAGAAGCCGACGCCAAACTGGCCGATCATGGAGATGTCACCACCTGTTGGGGTGAATGGTGAGCTCTGAAGCAGGATGTTGCGAAAGCAGGTCATTCGCTTTCCGCAGCCCCCTCCCCACCTGCGGCCATTGCCTCCATGAAAGCCTTCGTGCCAGACTTGGCAATCGTGCCTAAATTATTAATCAACTCGTTCTTGGTCATGCCGATTCCGGAATCCTCGATGGTCAAGGTGGAGTTCGTCTTGTCGGGAATGATCTTGATGAAAAAGTTCGGCTGAGCCTGAAAGTTCTAGCCTAGCCTAAACCCTCGTTTGTTGATGGGAAGACTTGCACAGCCCCTAAATCGATTTCGTGCGGCTTCCCTTTGATTTTACCTTACTCTGGATTATACACCATTTCCTGTTCTTTTCTTTTAACACCTCTAAAGCACCCAGCAGGCAAGAAGCCAGACTTTACATGTCTGCTGCTCCTCTCCTCCCCCTGACCCCTTTTCTCAGGTTGCGCCTCGATTTTGTCGGGGTCCGTGATGGACTCGTACCTGATTTGAAAGGGACACAGCGCTATGTACCAGACGCTAGCGAAGCCACTTCAGAGAAACTGACTAGGACTGCTACCGGATCTTGTCCAGGGCATCCGATGCGTTCGAGATGAGCTCTCGGAGGAAGATCTCCTTGTTGGAGTAGAAGGTGTTGATGATGAGGGACATCAACTGCTGGATGTCAGCATTGAACGCGAACGTCTCTGCCATGGCTGTCTCTGAATTGTGGCGGAAGTCACCGCAGGTTTCAGCTTCCGGGGGCAAAACGAAGTCGACTAGGAGCTAAAGCCGTGAAGGCAGCAACAGATCTGCAGCAGATGCTGGCGGCATGCTAGACTGCTGTACAAAGAATCGTCTTGCACAGTTGTCGAAAATGGCTTGCAAAAAACAGTCTGAGAGATTACGATGGTCGCTTGGTGACCGCAACTTACATGATACGACCACCAGATGATGGTGAGAGTCGTCTCAATTATCCAAGTATCGATAAGAAACTCGAGTCCCGTGGAGCCTTTCGACGCCTCCTCCTGTACAGCATGAGCAGCGGCATCTGTGTGAGAATCCACGGAGCCTGGCCGAAGAGCATTGACAAACAGGACTAGCGGCATGCAGAACTGCAAGTGTATAGATAGGTATACATCTGCATATACATATACATATACATATACATATACATATACATATACATATACATATACATATACATATACATATACATATGCATATATATATATATATCTCTATCTATATATATATATATGTATATACATATATATATATATATATCCACACACATACATGTATGTATATATACATACATGCATACATTACATACATGACATACATGACATACATTACATCATCAGATACATTACGTACATTACATACATACATAGATACATACATACATACATACATACGTGCAGACGTGCAGACATATATTATAGACATACAAACACATTGACATGGACATGCATAGTTATCATAAGCATGCCTACTCGATTTCGTCTGTTTGGATAGTTGGTTCAGTCATGTATTTAGTTAGCTAATCAAGCGAGTAATGGATTAAGTGATTGACTAGCTACTTGATCAGTCCAAAAATAGATAATCAGTTAAGCAATGGATCTAGTTGAACGACTACCTAACGAACCAATGCTGACCTGATTAAATGAGTTGTTGCTTAAATAGCGAGACAATCCACGATTTGCTCTCTAATTCAGTGTTTAACTGATTTAGTCATTCGTAGTTGATCAAAAGATAGAATCCATCAAGTAATCAGTCAATAACTACCCGCTAACATCCGTTAACTAACGAATCAATTTGTTGACTGACTATATTTCAGATCCTTCATTCACTCCTCACTCACTCACCCACTCGCATTCACTCATGCGTTCATTCGTTTATTAACTAATTACGTCATTCCTCCGTTCGTTGATCCACCCATCCATGCATACATGCATGCATTCGTTCATTCAGTCGATCAACATGTATTTAGTTGTTTGAGAAAGAGACAACCAACTTATTGATTGACTGACTGATTGATTGATGATCAAATCAACAAATCAACAAGTTTTCTAACAATGAAGCAATCAATCAATCCACCAACCAACCAATTAACAACCAGTCAGTCAGTCAGTCCTTCAGTCAGATAGGCAGGCAGCAGTCAGGCAGTCAGGCAGTCAGGCAGTCAAACAGTCAACCAGGTAGTAGATGAACTGTAACATAACTCGGATGCCATCAGCTATGAGTCACCTGTATTCTATGCATTGCAAACATGCCGGCGGCTGCCAACACGTTTGCGTACATCGGTCACAACTGCTACCCAAGGCAGGACCCAAAGCAAACACTACGCCTGCGGTCCATATGGAAGAATTTAAATCACGTTTTCGATCATAGGGGTCTTGACGTAAGGCTCGGGGTTCGTGTGCAGAAGGCTCAAGCTTCGCTGCCCTGTCGTAGCTTAGTGTTGGTTCCAACTTCGGAGTCAGTGATGAACATCGGATCTTGCTGCCGGAGCGTTCTGAGGAAGGCCGGTCGGTGTAAGGGAAGGGGCCCATACTCCCGTCGTCCATGTGTTGCCCTGACGATCATGCTCAGACGATCTGACGGTCGTCCTCATAGGAAAACTGGCGAAAGCAGGTCGGCGTCGCTTCCCTGCTCGGTGCTCATCGCTCCGAGCGGATGCGAATTACTGGACCTCGGACGGGCGAAGCGAGGCTTCTTTCCTGCCACCCTGTGGGATGCTTCAGGGCCAGCTTAGGACTGGATTGTCCCTACGAGGAGCCTGCAGGCACTTCTTGGGCTTCAGTGGAAAAGAGGTGTCAGGGCAAAGCAGAAGTTTCATGCACTATCATGCACTAGACGCCTTCTTGCCCCAGGCATGAGTACTCGTTGTCCTTGATTGATGCTTTCGAAAATGAGGGATGCTTTCGAAAATGAGGGATTACAACATGAAAATCTGCCAGGAGGCGGTGACGGCTGCTCCGGCGAGCTGGGCCTGTCCGAAAATGTTTGGCTCCCGATCCGAAGCTCCATCGACTCCCACCCCCAGATGTTTTAGTACAAGGTAGCCTCTCCCGCTCTGAGCTCTTATGTCTTCTTTGGGAAGCCCCAACGACTGCCAGGTTTCGTCCCACTCTTCCGCGGCGGCCGTTTTAGAAAAGCCCGGCAAGAATTTAATCTGACTCCCATCTTTTTTCAGCCCTGTCGGTCTTTTCTGACAACTGCCTTTGGCAACTCATCTGCTGCATCTGCCTCTTGCCCCCCACATCAGCCAGCCTGCCTTCATGTCTAGGCTGGGGTTTCAAAGAGTGAATTCTTTGCCTTTGTATGACTGCTGTAGCACAATCGGACTCACGTTTAAAGCGGCCTGCTTCGCACCAGAACTCTATCCCTCACCCTACTTCCCCCACATCGGGCCTGGTTTGGTCCTCCTGCTCGCCTGACAGGGTGGCTTCCCCGCTTCCGGCAGACTTCACGGGTCCACTGTAAGAAGGGAGGTCTCAAGTCTCATCGCAAGTCTCACAGAAGGCCACCGTGCCACCGCACGGCAGGCGGACAGAGAGTCTTACGGATGTTACGCCTCAGGTTCGGCTTTGGTTCAGGAGGCCGGGACCAAGATCCAAGATCGGGCCGGGCTCCCGACGACGGAGCCGCCCACTGCCCCTCAACCTGAGAGCATTGCAGCTACTGCCCTACTGCCATGCCCAGGGCTGCGCAAAAAGCACGTGGGCTCCGGAGGCCAAAAAGCCCTTTTCGGTCTCCGAAACTGCTGCTGCAGAGCGGACCAGGCAATGCCATTACTATGTCTTTTTCTGGGTCGCAGCCTCTGCTGGGACCCCCATAAGCAGTTGTCACTAGAGCTTTGGTGACTCGTTCCGAGGTTGGCTGGTTGCCATCGGGTCAAGCCCAGAAACCTCCCTCGTGAAGTCGGTGCAAGGCAGTCCGGAATTCAAGTTTTAAACTTCACCGGAGGGAAAAACCTTTTTGGAGATACAGTCACGCAGATGCTGCTTGTTGGCAGAGTCAAGCTGGCCCTGTGTATGCACGATCCAGTCTTCCAGAGGCTTTGGATACCTGAGCGTCGCGTTTCTGGCAATCTGTCTGTCTGGCCCTATGGACTTGGGCACATGGGGCATCTTCAAAAGACTGCACTACGGGGTCCCACAGGTGAACTCCCCGCCGTGATGCGAGTCGAAAGCCAGCACGCACTTGGAGTTCCTCGGATGCGATTCAGTCGCGACATGCACAGCTGGCTTCCGGTGGGTTCGATCGCCCGTCTGTTTCTGCGACCTGTGCCGAGAGTCAGGACGCCGGGCACCCAGGAGAAAGCACTGGGGGCCTGGATGAGGACATCGGCATGGGTCATGTGAGTCCAATCATCGATTTCCTCAGGGAGCACCCTAGCATTTCAATAGAGCTGGGCTTTGTGTTACAAGAAGCGGGAATGGAGTTTCTTGACCCGCACCTTTCCGTTCAGGTGCACCTGCATCTTCTTGGACCTGTAACCATCGAAGTCCTCGGAGGAGAATTTCCCACCTTCTGTGGAGCTGAAGACGTGGACCTCGGTCGTTCGTCCCAACTCCGCCAAGACATCCTGCACTTCCTGAATGAGCCCCATGTAAATCTCATCTGCCACATTCCGATGTGCCCAATGTTCCCGGTTGGTCAAGTCACCGCGGCGAACATGCACAGCGACTTTGACAGCTGGCCCGGCGAAGTGGAAGGCCCCCGATCGCTGGAGTCCGGTCGATTGCCGGAGTCGCTCTTGAAACTCCGGCGTCAGGTAGTCAACAAACTCCCGGCCATTGCCACACTCTTCGATGAGAATGCTTTGGCCCTTTTGCCAGGGCTTCTCGTTGACGGCCTCTTGGATGGTCTCGGGCCCGAAGAGGCACAGGTCGAAGTGGGGCTCGGGAGCGAATCTTCGAAGTTCCTTGTAGTTGGTTCCAAAAAGCTGCGTCATGCACTTTGGGATGTACACCCCGTGCTCTCTCTCCGAAGGGTTCGGCAGGAGGCCACCAAAATTGAGCTTCAGATGGGCTGCCAGCGCCATGAAGTTGATCAGGCTTGCAGCCCTCTGGCCCAACCCGTCCCAACGCTCAACGCCGTAGACCGTGGCGGCATTGGCATCATTATGGCACAGGGAGCAGTTCCATGGAGTCAGTCCAATGGAGGGGTCGAGGTCCTTGACAAGCCTCATCTGCCTCTTGCTGTGTGCCCGTGGCATCTGACCGGACTGCGCGTCACACGTGATGCTCGGAAGCGGTGAGCAGCTCATGCTGCTCGCTGTTTGCAGCAACGAGGCCTCCGAAGCTTCGCATTCTGAGCTCGGGCTCGGCGAAAGAAGAGCAGCAAAGCTTGTCGGCAGCAGAAGAAGTGCAAGGACGTGCATCTTCACTAAGAAATGGTGCGGTCTCGGACAGGGCGTGGCTGCGGCAAGCGAGGCTCCAGGGTGTTATGGCTCGAAGGTCCCAGCCCTGTGCACTGCAAAGCCCGACCCCATTACCTCCACATTGCCGGACGGAGGATAGCATCCCAAAGCCGAACACCATACCACACTTTCCTGACAACCCCATTCTGAACTCGTCCGGGCCCTTTTCCGAGCTGCTGGCAGATCAGCCTCCGACCTCAGAGCCCAAGAGACTTCCCCGAGGCTTGTGCTGGCTTTGGGGCACTGACGCTCTCCGTGCGAGAATCAGAAGCTCGGATGTCAAACTTGCTAGTTCGGACGACTTACAGAGAACCACTCGGCGCACTCAACGTCGAAAGGAAAGCGAGCAATGGCTGAGTGAGGGTGCTGACTGAGCGGGAGCGCAGCACCATCCTGGAAGTAGGGAAGTTGGGGCTCTCTTGATGTCGCCGCTCCCTCCAAAAGTCCCTCCCCGTCGCACCTGGAGGTCCTCATCCTCCTCCATGATTTGGGGTAGCTGTGGCTGCAACTGGCACAGAGGCTCTCCATGAGACGATGTCAGACTGTGAAAGGCATCCGTGCTCTTCTTCCCGGATGATGAGTCCAGGCAACAGCGGCCTTCGGGAAGATGTCCACGTCTGGGACATCGTCCGGTGCTTCTTCCGGGGGAAGGAGCTCGCAAAGCCGGTTCCCTGGTAAGTTCCGCCGGGTGTACAGATTTCGGCACATGCTTTTTGAGGCTTCCGACAGATCCCTGGAGATGTCTCGGCCTGAAAAGACCCTGAACAGCCAGGGCTGGGGCCATCCGTCTCCTCCAGCCAGGAGTGATCCAAGAGCTGCTGCGCCGTGGGGCGCTCGTCGGGCTTCTGGCGAACTTCAGAACTGAAGAAACTACGGGGCTGGGGGTCAATGTCAATCGCACCGCGTGCTCGACATGCTACAATCAAACCTGCAACCCCGAGCCCTCGCGAGTTACCGCTCAAGAACACTTGGCGCCGCACCATCCGCGAGCACTGCATCACGATGCTTCGTAGCAGCTCGTCCTTGCTAGCCAGTGTGACTCTCACGACAGCTGAACTTTAGGGGTGGCACGAGCAGCAGCCAGCAACAGCGGTAGGAAGTGTCACCGGCCAGTGTCATCATTGGAACAACTACGAGGTTTTGTGGCTTTGCAGGCTGGAGTTCTCAGGGTCGGAGAACTTTCCATACATGTGTGCGCTATTCTAGTTGTGGGCATCAACCGAAGCTACACTTGCCGGATCGAAGCACGTCTGTATCCTGCCTTCACCCTGCGAAGGTTTCTTGGACGCTCCCCGGCCAGGACCTTCTTGTAGATCTGCCCTCAGAGCAACACACAGGCAGACGGAGGGGGAAACCATGGGCGAGCAACCGGCAGTCTCGCTCCTTCACAGCGTTCCTACATTTGTGACATTCGCTTTATGTATTTGTTTGTACATTTTATATGTTGAATAATGAGTTACTGTCTAAACTTCTCTACATGCAGGTGTACATATAGATGTACTAGCCGCTTACATACGCGCATACATATACACAGCCCTAGACATACACGTAGACCAGTACCTGTACCTGTCCATGTGTATGTATGTATGTATGTATGTATGTATGTGTATGTATGTGTATGTATGTGTATGTATGTATGCATGCATGCATGCATGCATGCATGCATGTATGTATGTATGTATGTGTATTTTGCAGATACTGTATGCACAGTACATACACATGCATACATACATACATACATACATACATACATACATACGTACGTAGATACATACATACATACATACATACATGCGTACATACATACATACATACATACATACGTACATCAACACATACATTCATAAACAAAATACATATGACATCCACATCCACATACACATGCCCATACCTATACCTCTACATGTATATACATTTACATATACATACATACATACATACATACATACATACATACATGTTACATACATACATACATACATACATAAAAACATACATACACACATACATACATACATACATACATACATACATATATACATACATACATACATACATACATACACAAGCATATACATTTGTGTAATGATCATCAAATTATACGTGCACATACATACATGTACATGTACATACATGTACACACATATACATAAATATACATGCATATACATACATATACAGACATATGAATGTGTGTATACATATCTGATCTGTATAATATATAAATACACACATACATGCATGCATTCATGCATGCATACATACACATACATGCATACATATGTGCACACATGCGTACATACATGCATACGTACATACGTACATACAATACACTACACGTATGTACGTATGTACGTATGCATGCACACATGTATGCAGTAGACAGATACGCAGATGGATAGTGTAAGATGGACAGACAGATAGGTTGGATAGATAGATAGATAGATACATGGATACACAGATACATAGATAGATAGATCGATAGATAGATACATAAATAGATAGACACATGGATAGATAACTAGATAGATAGATAGATAGATGGACAGGATATGGCAGGATAGGATAGGATAGGCTAGGATAGGATGGGATAAGATAGATAGATAGATAGATAGATAGACAGATAGGTAGACAGATACAAAGATAGCTAGATAGATAGGTAGGTAGATAAATAGACAGATAGATGGATAGATAGTTAGATGGATTGATAGATAGGTAGGTAGATAGGTAGATAAATAAGTAATTCAGCGGGCAAGAACGCAGGCAGGCAGGTAGGTAGATCAGTAGTCAGACATATCCAATTAAACACGCCATGTAGCTATGTTCATCTACCAATGTTCACTTCCTTGTTGAGAGCAGACCAAGCTGCCGCAACCCATGTAAGGATCTGGGGCTTTCCCGCAAAGCCCTGAACCGCTCCGCCTGGAGTGTCGCATTCGCTCCAGGGCTGCTCCCTTCCGATCATCTCCTCGCATGAAAGGGAGCAGGGAGCACTAATAATGGCTTTACGCTCACGCCAATTGTCTCCCTTTTGTGGCTTTGGTTTGCAAGCTTCTGCGGCTGGCATCGGCCCAGTGTGCCAGGTTTATGGCTTCAGGTCCAGGGACGCCCCTTCGGGATAGATGCTAACTGGTGGTCCCTTCAGCCACGAACACCCTCGGACTTTCCCTGCAGCCAGCACCCCATCCCCTCGAAGCTCCAGAAGTACCATTCCGAATGCGTAGATGTCCACGGACGTGCCGTAGTTTTCCTTGGGCAGCACAGCGCGACTTACCATCCCGGCAAGACAAGCCATGCTCTTGGCCAAGAGTCATCGTAGATCTCAGGGGCGATGAAATCGACGGTTCCCACAATGGACCGGGCCACGGCGCAGGACTCCCGCAGCGTGGTGGACAGGCCCAGGTCTCCGATGACGATGTCACCACGGTTTCCTCGGGATCTCGGGACTTCGTCCGGGGGGGCCCCTTAAACGGTTCCTGCTAGAAGCCGGAAGCCAAGGCACCGTTGATGAAGATGTTGTCGCACTTGAGGTCCCTGTGGATGATGGGGTCCGGACGCGTGTGAAGGTAGTTCAAACCTGAGCTCGCAGCCGCTGCGCAGCCCTGAACTTCTCTCAAGGGAACCAGATAAAGAGGTGGCTACAACGGTACAGCGATGTACAGTTAACGGCCAAGCCACCTTCCAAGATCTGCCTGCACCAGTTGCGGATCACCTTGAGCTTCAGCGGCGCATTGATGCGCTTTATGTACTGCAGGAGGGAACCTCCCGTGACCCGCTCGGTAATGAAGCAGACCTGTCCCAGCAGTTCTACGGAGCTTTGGATGGAGCTTGGAGCTTAGCAAGGGTGGGGAACTCTTGTCGTGGGCCTTCTCTTGCTCCTTGTTCGTCCAGGCATTGATGAAGGCAATGATTTTGGGATGCTTGAGGTTTTTCAGCATCTGGATCTCGTCCGAGATCCGCTTCTTTGCCTTCCTCAGAGTCCAGCATGTTCCCATATCGACTCAAGCTAGCTGCAGGCTTCTGCAAGCTTGACGAACGAGCTGCTTGTCCAAGTTCTGGAACGAGATGATGTTCCAGGCGACCTCCATTCCTGGCCATGCTTGGCAGCAGGCAGGAGCTGCAGTCGCTGCAAGACATTCCCCGTGCCTGTGTCGTTATCGAAGCCCAGCCAAACGGTCTTGTAGGACCCAGATCCAAGCTTCCGATTGAAGCGAACGAAGCGCCCTAGTGGCGACTTCTCTTTCACCTTCAGGTGCCGATGAATCTTACCCGATACACTGGCTGCCGTGGGGCTCACTGGAGCCGGATGTCGAGCTAAAGGCGGGTCTTCTCCTGTACCGGCCTCGTCCTTGCTCATGTTGTCAGGATAGTCGCCAGGTGTGTTGGCATCCTCAGCGTTCTCATCTTCGGAGGACTCATCCTGCTGCACAGCCGTGGGTATCACAGAAATGACCCGGTGACGAATCCAGAGCCAGGCTGGGATCAGAGCTTTGACAAAGCTTTCAACCTCATGGTCCGTCCTCGGCTTCCTCCTGGTTGTCGTCATCCAAGGTCTCATGCTCCTTGCAACCCTTCATTATCGCAAGTTACAAGTTGGAACGCAAGAAGTTGAAAAAGCTCCTCCCCTAGCTTCGCAGATCTCAACTCTCGGGACAGCGAACTCAGTGAAACAATACCAAGAAGTCAGAAGGGTGCTCTGAGGCCGGTCAGCAGAAAAAACACACAGCGTCCTTGAGCCGCGTCGACTTTGTCTTTTTCAAAGCCTTTGCCTGCCAGCACGCCGAAGCCGAAGCAGAGACTTATGTGCTGGCTGCAAATGTTGGCCGCCCCGGGCCTGTGGGGTTATCAAAGCCTGTGAAGCTTGTGAAGCCTGCGATGCCTGTCCGGCCCAGCACGGCTTGAGGCTCGAGTGCCACGCGGACAACCAAACCAACAGGGCGCCTCCCTCGTCGAGGGGGTCGACGCCCCGATCACTTGCGAGGCCTTGTCGCGACGACCGGGCTTGAGAAACTGCCATCATCTTAGACCCGGCCGGCTGCAGTGCACAAGCTTACTCACTGAATACCTGACTTCTGAGACTCTCAGACACAAACGCGTTCAGCTGATTCTTCCATCCCGGTCGCCCCATGAGACGTCTCCGAACAGGATTCTCAAGACAACAGCTACTGCACTCCACCGATGGCGGAAGGTAAACTCCACTTCCATCCATTCCACGGGCAGTCCACCTCACGGTTCCCTGCGACTGGCGCCTCACCAATTGAAGCTACAGGCTCCATGCATAGGGGTTCAGCGACAGAACCATCTAGAATGTAGCAATTGCCACATCCTGCCACAATGGCACGGGCACGTTTTCGTGCCTGTTCCCGTTGGTTCTAACTTCATTTTCATTTTCCGCTCTGGTTTCGGCCGAAACGGAAAGCCACCGGTGAGAAAAGACCGAAACAGAAGCTGAAGCGGAAAGCCACAGGGAACCACAACCGCAAACAGAAACGGAAAGGCAGGAGCGAGGAAAACTGAAAGCTCTTCCGTTTCACGGTTGCGGGTTGAGGGTTTAGGGCTTAGGGTGCGGGGTGCCGGATGTCCGTTTCTGCTTCCGTTCTCGTTTCGAGGGCTCGAGACCTTCTCACGTTCCGTTTCATGTTCAAGCCCAAAAGCGGAAGACACTCCAAGGAAAGACGGAAAGCGGAAACCAAAAGGATGATGGAGCTCTGAGTACGGCGTCAACTTCGCGTTCCACTTTCTCTTTCCACCCACTCGCCTGGGGCGAAGCTGCAGTTGGAGAAGCCTGCGCAGCCTGTGCCACTGCTTCCGGACTTCCAGAAGCTCTTGCCGCCCCGCTTTCAGGGGGAGTTTCAGGTCTACAAACAAGCTTTACAAGCTTTGGGCCCCTTTTGTCTCTGAGAAATTCGCCCGTCAAGTCCGCTACAGCCCTGCACAGCTTTGCCCTCAACCCCAGAATGCCGAATCGCTCGGTCGAACCCGTAACCGCGAGAGCAAGAGCACCTGAGGTGTCACTGCAGCAGCCTGCGGCGGCGGTTTTTCGGAGGACTGGGTCCTGGGCCTTAAGCTTCCTCCGTTATTCCACATCTCCCTCTCTGTTTTTTGCTGCCTCTCCCGGTCTCCGTTTACGTCTTTCTGCCTCTGTCAGCTCGAGGGTTGGATAGGCATAAAACTGATAGGATCCCAGAGGCTGTTTTATGATCGAAAGGCTCGTCAGACTTTGAGAAGGCATGCGACAAGGATCGACAAGGTGCAATGAACTGAGGCTCTTTGCGAGCTTCAATCCTGAAGCCTAAACCTGCAGAGGGGACGGTCCGTTTCCTCTCTCGAGCATCCGTTAACTCTCAGCCATCCTTTGCCCCTCGCAACGAAGATATGCATGACGGGGCAGCTGATTCTCACTCGGAATCCTGACGTGATTGCGTCACTTCTTGACTCTAGAGATGTCTCCACATCGCGAGGTTTTACGAGAAAGGTCTTCCGTCAGGCTTCAAGGAGCACATCGAGGCTGTGTGTCCGTTTGTCTGCCTGTCGCTCGGTCTCAGCACACTCTGTCTGTCTCTGGTCTGTCTTTTCTGTGTGGCTGCCTCCCTCTCTCTTTCTCTCTCCTTCTTCCTTCAGGTCACTTTCTCTCTATCTCTCTCTCTCTTTTCTCTCTCTCTTTCTTTCTTTCGCCAGGGCTGTGTACTAAGGGGTTGCCCCCTTAGCCCTCTCTCTCTCTCTCTCTCTCTCTCTCTCTCTCTCTCCTCTTCTTCGTATTCTTCTTCTTCTTCTACTTCTTCTACTTCTTCT